ATGTACAATGAACCCTGGGGATTAAGCAAGAATTCAGGCAATATTTAAAGCTGGAGCTTTTCAGAAAAGATGAGTTTAAAAAAAATTTTTTTTAACTTTCAATTGTGCAATATACAGATTCCTAATCTCCTAATCTGGCTGAACATATTTGTTAAGTAAAATGTTCCTCTCAGTATGAGAGGAGAAAATGGCAATTTTCAGATCTTAAGTGACACATCACCTATTTTAAAAATTCCTTTCCAGAGTCTAAGGATAAAGTGACACTGCAAACTGAACAACCAAGTGAGATCAAGAGATAGACCTTGGTTTCACCATCTATATATAACTGCTCAAAGAAAAAAAATCACATTTTCCTACTGTAAATTCCCACTCATAAATATAAAATGCACCCAAAGCCCTATGGCTTCCTCTCCTCATCAGGTAGCCAGAGACACATTTAATGCAACAACAGTGTTTTCATCTGATGTGGTTTATTGAGTTTATGTAAAATCAGCCAAACTTGGGTGGAAATCAGGTAATAATAGGCTTTTTTTTTTTTTTTTGAGACAGGTTCTTACTATGTAGCCCAGGCTGGCCTCCTGCTTTAGCTTCAAGTACTGCACCACAATGGCCAACAGTAGACTTGACAAGAGCTAAAACATCACCGCCAAGATCCCTCCTACTTCTAACATTTAAAGAAATGACTACTTCAGAGGTGGCCCAACAGCTACGTAACCACAGACGCTACAGAGACAGGGAGTCAAGAAAATGAAGACGGTATTAGTTTGCACACACATTTTTAACTCAACTTAAATAATGCATGAGGATGATGAGAACCCAAAAGATATTTCTAGAAACTAATTAAGATATAAAGGAATATGTACAGCTGGCCCAAATGATTTTATGATGCTCTCTAACAACCTTTCTTCCTTTCACAGTGACAAAAAAAATTGGCTTATTTAAGATGATAATTTTTCAAGCAATGGATGCACAAATGCAAACTTATAATCAAAACTTACACTGACTGAGCTTTGTTAAATGCCAGGTTTGAGTTTATGTCAATTGTAACTTACAAAATTATGTTTTAAGTATTTTGTACATCTTAAAATTTAAATACAAAACAGGATGGATAGTTCTAATTTTGAGATCAGAGCTGTCCTTCTAAGACGAATACCAGAAATAACCAATATAAATGGAAACCTTTTCATGAGTACCTGAAAAAGTAGATGTGTTGGGAACACAAAATTGACTCTGTAAGAGTCTCAATGAAAAACACTACTAATGCCTAGTTTTAACACAAGCAAATATCTTCTAAGACTGTTAAGACACTGAATATGAGCCTTACGAATCTGCTTTTGAAAAAGTTAAATAAGCAATTGCAGGTTATGTGCCTTTTAAATCTTTTCCTGTTTTAAGAGTCACTGTAAAGATTCAGTATAAAAAACAAGCATCTCCTCTACCAGGCACCAGGGAGTTCCTAAACAAAACCCACTTAATAAAACCATAGTTCAGACATACGCAAAAAAAATTAACTGCACAGAAAATATTTATGAGTTTACTTTCCTAACACATACAATTGCGTCCTTGTTTCCAAAGGCCTGCAATTCACATGGTGGTGGGGGGGGGCGTGTTGCAGACAAGAGAAAGTTAGCTTCCTAAAAGAAAAGAGCACAGAGCGCGCTGAGTAAACTAAGGCACAGAAAAACCAGAATCTGTTTCTTTAATAAAGGTTTAAATAGGAGTTTGTCTCCCAGAGAACATGGAAAGCACTGAACATTTAGCCCCGCAAAGTCGCCGCACTCAGCCAGCAGCGTTAAAACCTCGGGCACAAAAACATCTACAGAAGTCTGCGACTCCATTTCAAAGACCCGCTCTCAAGGACCGGCTTTCTTTTCATCTCACCTGCAAGGAAAACGCTGGTGAAACCGGCAGAGTAGGTCACTAGGAGCTGGCCGGAGGGCTGCGGGGCGCAGGCGGGGCGCGCGCGGGACGTTTCCGCGCGCCCCGGGCCACGGCCACCGGGAGCCCCGCGCGGCGCCGCTGTGGCTCCCAGCAATGGCTCCGGGGCCCGCTCCTCTCGGTAATTACCATTCCCTTCACGTCGCCAATTATCCCCCTCCCTGCGCATCGCATCCTCCCCGGGCTCTCCAAGGGGGAAGGAGGACTTGAGTTCCCACCACCTTCCAGGGGGCTCGCTCTTCTCTTTCCTCGGGAATACCGAGTTCTGAGCTGGACAGCACAGACAGCAGCCGCGGCGCCGCGCCCTAGCCCTTTTCCCTTCGAGCCCCAACTTCACTGCCATCAAACTTACTGCAAAGTTGATTAGAGGTGGCGGCGGCGGGCACCTTGTCGCCTTAGCGCGCCCCCGAGCTGGGCACCGGTCTGCCGGGGACCTCACTGGGCCCGCACGTCCGCATGGTGCTGGTGGCCGCCCCGCCACTCGCTCGCCCCTCTCCGAGCGGCCCCGAGCCGCCCCGTGCCGCCGGCGTGCCCGGTCCCCGGCGTCGGCTTGGCCCCGGCGCCGCTCGCTCCCGGCACGTTGGAGATTCCTCCGCCCGCGGCCACGCCCGCTTGCGCCGGCGCTCGTTTCTCCAGCGCGGAAACTCCGGCCGAGTCTCCGAGTCTCCGAGGCTCGGGGACTGAGTGCCCGCGGGTCCCGGGCGGCCACGCCCCGCACGGGGTCAAAAAAGCTCCCGTCTCCACAAAGGCTAACTACGTGTGGAGAGAACAGCAAGCGCCCATTTTGCCCATATTGGGTGATATTGCGATAAGGCAGGAACGATTTGGGGCTTTTTAGTTATGGCCAGCGCACGGATAGTGGTGGAAGGAATTAACAAGGAATGTTCTGTCTCTGCTAGGAAAGGGGAAACCGCGAACTCAAAAAAAAAAAAAAAAACACAAAAAAAAAACAGCGAGGGCCAAAGGAAAAAGCTCCCCGGGAATCCCTTTAGAGTTTTACAACCTCCAGGAAATCCCTCAATTTGCATTTGAATGTCTCTTTTCTGGGCCTGCAACTGTTTGGTGGCGTAAAATACTACTGAAGGCTGCAAAGGAATGCAGTTAGATCGGAATCTACTTCCTCCAGAAATCAACACTAAATCCGGGAATAGGCAAATGTTTCCTCGGCGACCTCTTTGTGCAGACATAGTCAGAACCCAGAACCTCCCGGCCCACCAGATAGCGAGCCCCAACGCCGGCTGCTCCCCTGCGGGTACCCCCAGCTCCGGGGTCTGAGGGACAAAAGGCAGGCGAGCCGCCTCGTGTACGTTCTCAGCCCTATATTCCTCCCCAACAAGCCCACATACTGTGAACCCAGTCTAACAACTTCAAGTTTCTCCTACGATCAGAAGCCCCACTCCCGAGCGCCCAGTCTGCGCATCCCGGGACTGAGAACCCATCGCAAGCGCGGGCAAAGCTCCAGACCTGGCTTAGCGCAGTTGAGACTCAGCCGAAGCCCAGAGTGCTTCGGAGAATTGGGATGCAGCCCGGAGAACTGGGCGGGCATGACCTCGTAAAGTTTGTGGAGCTCAAACATTTTAACACCGCGAGGACTAAGAGATCTGATTTCCCTGGGACCAGGGGAGGAGGCTGCAGGAGAAACAGCAAGGCACAGGGGGGCGAGAGAGGCAAAGCGTGTAGTTCCTTGGTTCAGTGTTAAAGTAGTCATTTTTTTAAGCCATCTTAAAGAAGGTGATTGAAAAATATAATGGTGTCTAGCAGATTATGACTGGGAAGAAAAAGTCAGGCCCGCAGAGTGTGCTGATTCGTACGTAGCACTATACTGTATTCCCTGCTCACAATTCAGAATACACACAAATGCCCACACTCAGCAAATGTAAATACATCATTCAAAGACTTATTTGATCACGGCTACCATTAACGCCAAATGCTCCTGGAGTTACAGGTCAATTTCATACGTGGAACACGTCGAAAGTGGTTGACCTGATCTCCAAGTTCAGCCCGTTTGGCGCCCCTTGCTGAATTTTAACTCTTGGCAAAACACAACCACTCAAGAACCACGCAGCTGTTGGGGGGTGGGGAAACAGAAGACTTGGGGTAGTGCTAAAAGGGGAAAGGAAAAACAATTTTTAAAAGTACAAAGATGCCACTTCGTAACATAAAAATCACAGAATTTTCTAAATGGCACAAAACAATTCCTGGAGAAAATTACTATTATTAATAAATATTACCACGTACAAAAACATCTGTTTGAGAATCCCGATTTTCCCGTCTCACTGAGAAACCTAGTTGCCTGGAAGAAGTTGCACTTTGTCACCACAGGAACCGCTGAGAGCCAAAAATGTAGACTACGGTGCTGCCACGATCCTGTGGCCCCAACCGAATGAAATGGAGAGGACTTGCTTCACATAAAGGAGAGAAATGTGGCTCAAGCTCCACATATGTCCTTTAAATAGTCAGCCTTCCCTAACCCTGTCCCCAGAGGCTCATGGAAATTAGGTGGAAGGGAGACGGTTCCCAAAACAAAATCGCTTTCCACAAGACCGCTTCTGCATCCAGTCCAGCCAAGCTGTTTTATAGAAGTCGTGTAACGTATCATCCGGGTGGGTAAATGAAGCCTGGGGTGATAGCGACCAAGTTGGCGTCCACGTCCCTGGAACGCCCCGCAGGTCCAAGTTCGCGGTCCGAGCGGAATCCGGCAAGCAGCGCGCCTTGCCGGAGGCCCGGACTAGAGGGCGCTGCGCCCCTGCAGATCACGCGGTCCCCAATGCGCCCTTCCTGGGCACCATTTCTATAATAAGTTACATTCCAAATAACGCACAAACGGTATCTGAAGTTCTTTTGAACCGTGCCCGGCAGGTATTTTATGAATTATAAAGGTTAGGCATACAGATCTTTCATTCCCGAGCCGTACACAGCCAGAGGGGTGGTGTGCGGTTCCCTGAGCGCAGAGCCTGTAAGATGCACACGCACCCAGCACTCGCTAAGAACCAAACACACCACGCTATTCATTTACGTTCCAACTTAAATACAAAAAGGCATGCACTAACAAAAGAACTCACCACGGTAGCCTGGCCCTCGGTGCTCCTCTGCACAGTCCCCAGTAGTTCGGAAATCCCCACGCGGCTTGGATATTTGTTAAGAGCAGTGTTTGAAGTGCCAACTTTGTGTCCCTCCGATCTTCAGCATATCCCCAACCAGAGTGCGATCAGTCGGCACTGCCGGGACCCAGGTGGCCGCATCTCCAGAGGCTTCCGACCGGGGGAAAGTTGAGCACCAAAAGAGGAAGAAAAGAGCGCGCAAGGGCGAGAGAGAGAGGGCCGGTGAGAAGCCAAGTTTGTCAGGACATGTCCAGGCAGCTAGCAGCCGAGTTGAGGAGTTGCGGCCGGGAGCTGCGGCGGATCGCTGCCTCTTTTCCCCACTCCTGCCCTCTTGGGAGCAGCTGGGGGAGGGGAGGTGACGTCAGTGCCCCGCCTCGCCCCCGGCTCCCCGGCGCAGACGGGGTTCTCCAGTGGGTCGGCCTCCCGGGCAGTTGCGGCTGCAGACGCCAAGGCTGCCGCAGGCCCCCCTACGGCTGCGGTGTAGATGGCCGCAGCGTCCCCAGGGCTGTTCTCCTCCCTGCCGAGTCTTCGGGGTTCAGCCAAGCGCTGGCCTTTCTCGCACCCAGTACCCGAGCGGCCCAGGGGCCGGCTGCGCGCACCTCTCGGGTTTCCCAACCCCCTCGGGCAGCGTTTCCCACGCCTCGGACTGCAGGTGATGCTCTTCCTCTTCTGCAGCTGAAACTCGTCGCGACGTGTCGCCTGCCGGATTTTCGCAGAGCGGAAGCGTGAACCGTCTCTGCAGACTGGACTGGACGACTTGTACTTTGTAGTGCTCCAACTTCTGGATGTGATAGGTTTAAAATAGTTCTTGTGCTCTAGCGCTGTTTGTGGTCTTTGTGTTGAAAATCACTGTGCCGCGTTTTAATTTTCAAATCCTTTTAAAATGCTCCTACGTTTTTAGACCTAGTCTGAAGCACGAAGGATCTGAGGGGTGAGAGGAAGAGTAGGGGAGGAGCCGATTTTTAATGGGTCTTACAGTGATCCCTAGTCGTAGTGACTAATACACAAATCAGATTTACATAAATACAAACCCTGTCGAAGTTTAATTTATAAATGAATGCGTCGCTTTTATGTAAAGCGTCTAGGCTCCGGGAAAATACCTGCTGTGGAATATTTTTAATGCCAGTAAAGTACCAAAATGTATTCCCTAAACAGCATGAAATTCTGAGGGAGCCATTTCTGTAAATCGACACTGTCACCAAAAAACTGACATTAAAATGTGAAGAGTCCTGGAAAAGGGGGAGGGTTAAAGGCGGGTTCTATCCACGTATTTGCATCCGTCTGTGTAACTCTATTGGTCGGTTTCGCTGGTCGTGCGTTCTGAACAACCCCCGAGGACACAGGCAACCAGGCAAGGGGTTAAAACGGTAGGGGGAGAAAGCAGTAAATACCTGGAGTATTTGTGTAGTTAGGTTGAGAGGAAGTCATGTAACTGCTCAAAGTTTCAGCGTTCTCATCTGTGATAAGGGGAAAAATGTCTGCTACCCATGGTGAAATGTATTTATTCATTAAAAAAATTATTGAACCCATTTCCCAGGGAGATAACGTTCATTCGTGCAAGCAATACACTTTTACTGAATATCATAGAACGTGCAAGCAAGCACACAGTAGGTACTTAATCTTAGTTCACTTGCGCGCGCGAGCGCACACACACACACACACACACAGAGTGTGTCTTGGTTTTTTGGGGAGGGGAGGGCTCTAGAAAACTAGGAGATGGGAAAGGACCTTAGAGGCCCCAGCAGACCCAGGAGGCAGCCGGAAGGCGCCACATTCCTGAGGAGGGAGGAGGCTATCTAAAGGAAGCCGGGCTCAAAGGCCTGCCTGTCGGTGCTCAGCCAGTTTCTCAGGCTTCAGGAATTCAACTGTACAGGCTCACTCCTTTTATGTCAAGCGTTGATATAAAAGAGTTGAAATTAGAAATTATATTACAGGTCCTCAAAATGATACACATTAATTCTAGAGATGCTGCTTTGCAACTCAATTTGGTTTGCTATACTAGTCTTCCAAATAAACCGAGTTATTTCTACTTTTAAAAAAGAACACAAACAAGAGAACTTATGTACAACTATTGATGGTATTAATTAGATAACTAATCTTAAAAGTAAGAGGGCAGATTACTTTTAACCAAACCTTTAACTGCGCTGATCGCTGTAGCGACTAGCCACGAGCAGCTACTTTCATTAAAATGAAATCAGAGGCTAGGTGCCCATGGCTCAGGCCTGTAATGCTAACTACTCAGGAGGCAGAGATTAGGAAGATCTGTTCGAAGCCAGCTCTTGGCAAATAATTCAGGAGCCATCTCAAAAAAAGCTATTATAAAAAAGGACTGGTAGAGTGGCTCAAGGGTAAGAGCGCCTGCCTAGCAAGTCTGTAGGCCCTGAGTTCAAACACTAGTGTTGCCACCAAAAAAAAAGGAAAGAAATGAAATTACATTAAGATGCAGTCTTTAGTCTAACTATCTTTCACATATTCAATATCCATATTTGGTTTCTAGTACTATTTGAGTCATCATGACTGAGTTCTGTTGGAAAACCTTGCTATAGACTTTTAAAAACTTTGATTTTGAAGAGGGGAGACATCTCTTCTTTCTTCAGTTAGCATCTTAAGCTAAATGGGCTGGCATCCAATCACTATCCTCTTGTCTCTGCCTTCCAAGTTCCTGAGATTACACGTGTATACCACCGTACCTGCTTTGCTACTGTGTCTTAAAATGCTGCATCAAATATTAAAATTGTGATGTCTCCAACACTGAGTCACTTCTAAAGTATGGGAGGACAGAATCATGGAAGGATTTACTCACTCAGCAAATATTTGTCAAGTACTAGCGATATTAGGTGAAATTATGTAGGATTCAAATTTTAATGAGCTAGGTGTGTTTAGTGATTATGAAATACTAACATGGCCTCATATCTTTGCTGAGCACAAAAACCAGGGAAAATCATAATTTAAAACAAAAATCCTAAGTCATTTTTAGGAATAGTTCTGCATCTAAATAATTCAAAGAAGTCTTGACTGACTTCTGACATCCCACCCTCTGTTCCTTTCTCATCTGCTATATTCTCCCTGCTGCCTACACTTCCTGGAAGTGGAAGGAAGAAGGAAGTTTCAGCTCTCTGTACTTCCCCAAACTCTGGAATTATTTTACCCTTTGCATTGTAATTCAGCTCTCCTTTGCTTGTGCTCTGCAAGGGGGTCATTAGGACAGAAAACTTAGTCTGTTAGAATGGGTAGAGGTTTACTATGCCTGTGAATATGTTGATATTCCTCCTCTCTTCCCAGTCAGTAAAATAAGGACTTCCTTAAAACTATGCCTTAATGATAAAATTGTATTGTAATGGTGAAATCCCCAAATTTCATTCAGGAAAATATTTGGAGGCATTACAAATCATGTACTGATGGCTAGCCATTAAAAAACAAACAAACCAACAAATGAAAACAGTACCAAGCATACCTTCATTTTAGGGATAAGTACATAGCAGAATAGGGTAGTAGTAGATTTTTCCCTACAAATATATTTTCTCATGTTCTCCAAATGGTTTGGGAACAGATCTTTGCAAGATAATTATAATTCTTGTAACATTTTCCCAGCTCAATGATTGAAGGATTACAAGACTTCCTTTTTAAACAGTGAGCAAGGAATCATCCAGAAACTGTTAAAATTCTTTCTTAGTAAAAGTAGTAGAGATAGCATCTGACCTGAAGTCAGAAGACCTGGTTTGAATTTTGTCTTTGACAAATAAAATCGAAATTTACATGACTTTACAGAAATTTGGGAATCTCACTTTCCCCTGTAAAGATGGATATCGAAAATGAACAACAATGATGATCAATCTGATTGATTATGAGAGATATGAGTAGAGAACGATGACTGTGACAATATCATCATTCTCCTGAAGTTTACCCACTCTCTGTCACTCTGCCACTCCCATATCAGGTATGAAGCTTTGTAGAACAAAGGTGTTAAGTACCATTTATTTACTCCAGAGCAAGTTCAGTTCCACTGTGTTCCAAGTTCTTTATATGTATTATCTCATTGATTCTTATAAAATCCTAAGAGGTATTAACAATTAATTCCCTACCCCCATTTTATCAATGAGAAGCAGGTTTAAGGTAAATAACTCACACTGGGCCACCTTTTGGGCTACAACCCGTAGCAGCTGCAAAGCCAACATTCTTGTCTACTATAATATCCTAGCTCCTAATAGCTTGTACCTCATCTGCACTCTTTATAAATCATGGCTGTTTTACATTAAAGATCGGCAGTATTGTGGTTTAAGAATTGGCCTAGGAAGACAGCAAAAAGCTATCAAGTGATGGCCAGAGGGAAATGCGCCTTTCTAGCAGCTACATTGAATGTGGATAAATAATTCTTTAAAACTAGTTCCTTTAATCACAGAATGCAAGCATCACTGATTGCGTTTAGCAATATATATGTAGTACATCTATTATTTGTTTGAATTACTTATTTTCCTAGGTAGATATAAATATACTTAAGCACATTTCTTTTGAATTCAAAATCAGAGTTTGGCTTTTAACTTATTTAGGCTGAACAGCAAAAAAATACACACCAATGATTCTCAATGAATTCTGACAAAGACTATCTCACAGGATTTCATGATCAGCATTTCAATTTAAACCTTGCTTTTTCCCTTTCCAGATCTGGAACCATTGGTATTTTTCCCTCTAATTCTCCTTTTGCACCTTCATTTACGTCTTTACAAATGTATGGCAAGTAGTTTTACCATTGGAAAATTCCTTTCAGCTGTACTTTCTTCCTCATAGCATTTTGTTGTCTCAAAAGCCAATCTCAAATAGAAACCCAGAGGATCCCATTTGAGAAATTAGGTATTGTGATGGTCCCCCAACAGCTGTTCTCTAATAGACTGTATCTCTAAACCCATCATAGTTCTATACCCCTTGTCATGGGCATGTGGATCTTTTATAGACAATGAGATGCTAGAGGAAGTATGCAAGAGGCTCCTGAAAAAAAAAATTATCCCTCCTCCTAATAAAGATATACAAGACATTACTTGTCAGGTCAAGTACATTGTCAGGTCAAGATATCATGCAAGAGTCACCTTGCTTTCTAAAGATGAGGCCTAAACCAGAGAAGGTAGATGAGGGTGTGGATGAATTGAATCAACTCTCCCCCAAGTCAAGACTTCTTATGGGAGAGCATAAGTTTCTGTATTATTTAAGCTGGGTTGTGATAGGATTTGCAGCTGGCATGAGCCATTGCAACCAAGTAATCCCTTTTCAGTGCACTTTGAATTATTTAAAATAAAAAATAAATTAATA